GGCTTTGGGATTCACTCCTGCCATTAACTCCATAAAACTGAGCAAAGAATGATGTTATGTTTAATTTTGGTGTCCCCCATCAGAGCTGCTTAGGATCGAACTCTGATAATGGTGATATATTTGATTATCATCCAACAATTCTTCTTTTGTCCCACTGACAGGAATGTAAAAATTACCCAGAATGATTGATTTCACATATTTTCTGTGTTTCAGGTGAAAAGCCCCAGGAGTGCAACAAAGGGGTTATTCCTATTAGAGTTGTGAATGGAGGTTGTTATCTGATCCAGTTACATTATCACATTTTGAAAAGACTAGTGGCAAAATATTGATTTTTTGGTGCTTAACATGTGCAGTGGCAGTTGTGCGAGGTAGGACACGCAGTTTGGTTGAGAGATTTGAAAAAAGAGAGGGATTGAGTAGTAATGAAGCTCAAACGCCTGAGAAAGCTCCTAACTTTAGTAGCGAAGAAGCTCAAACGCCTGAGAAAGCTCCTAACTTTAGTAGCAAAGAAGCTCAAATGCCTGAGAATGCTCCTAACTTCAGTAGCAAAGAAGCTCAAATGCCTGACAGATGTCCTAGTTCAATAACTGAGGCAGCTAAAGCATCTTTGCAGGTATGGTTGTGCTTATATATGGTAATTTTAAATAGTATTGAGCTGACAAAAGTCTTGTTGTGATGTTGATAGTTAGGAATCAAGCTTTACATGAAACTGACTGGATATTTTGAGGAAGTGTTATTTAAGGAGAAGTTGGATATGAAGAAAAGCTTGTGTGCATATTTTTGTTATTATCTTGTGCCTACCCTTCAAATTCAGTGTAGCTAAGACTTGCATCGAATCCATGTGTCTTGAAAGTGTATGTGTAATGAATGCTTGAAAACTTTAAGTATTGTTTGATACAGTACCGTTCAACTTGAAAAAGTAGCGTTTCTTGTGTCTGGATATTCCTTTAAACCTCGAACGTGAATACGCTAATATAGAATTTTGTTTTTAAACCTTTTTTGCTTCAATTTTTTTTATTTCATTTTTGCCTGGAGGTGGCACACAGGGTACAGGAGTATGGGCTATAAGCTTTTAGAAGTACTCTGAAGTTGCTTTTGCATTACTATTGAATGTGGGCTAGCTCTTTCTTTTTTCTGATCTACCTAAACACAATTTTCGCCTGCAATACAGCTACAGCTACATTTACACCGCCACCAATTTTGGCATTCTAATAAGTGTGTCATGATTTCTTTCACCATGTTATGTTACTTTCTAAATACTTAAAATTGATTTGAGACAGTTGCATCTTTTGAGTGCCATAATTATATTTTAATGGCCTGTGATAAAATGGAATTGACACACTATTTGCATTAAAATGAGAGCTAATGTTAGCCAAGGTCTGGACTATTTGTGTTAAAATGCAATTGACGAATCATGTTGCTGAAATCACAACTTCTAGACTTCTAGAACAATGGTTTTGTCACCTCTCTCTCTCTCTCTCTCTCACACACACACACACACACACACAGGCATATCATGATGCTGACATGTCTCTCTTTCTGTGGGTTACATACGCACACACATCCTGGTGGTGACATTTCTCCTGTTCTATCAGATTCGTTTTTGGGTACTTCAGGCAGATTTTATTTTTGGCTGCTTTAGTTACTGGCTTGTTTAACCATTTATAGTTGAATTGCTATCTTGGTTGTTGGAAAAGTTGCAATTCTCAAGAATTATCTTCTACTGCATTCAAGTTGGCTTTTTATGAGCACTTTGATCGTTTTATTGTGCTGTCTGCAGGATAATAATCCACCAAATGCTGGAAGGGAGCCAGATACAGATGATAATCATGCCATTGAAGCGCTGATGCAAAATCATGACGTGCTATTAAGCACTTTTCGGTCACGCCTGACAAAGTTACAAGTAAGTTATTTTGTAGACTTGCATGTGATGCTGCTGTAGTTTTTGGAGGTTTAGCTAGATTTATAGAATTCATTTTTTGTTCTCCTTGGCCATGTGTTGCATTGTATACACGAAGAAGACAAATGGTCTAAACTATATCCATATGGTAGGTAGATGTCGTATTAAGTGCTCCAGAACATGGAGTCAGCTTTATGTTTTTTGGTGAAGTTGAAGTGTTTTAGAATGCTGGTTTTTGGACATCTTTTGTCTTCCTTTTATTAGCTTCCAATCTGCATCTAGCATCATATTCTCTTGAAGTTGACAGTGACCTACAGTCTGTCTTCTTTGCAGGTGGTGCGGCATTTTTGGGAACGCAATGATGTTAAAGGTGCAATAAATGCTATGATGAAGTTGCCTGATCATTCTGTGAGTATCCTCCAGATAGATCATCTGTTTGGTGTTCTGCTTACTTTTCTCCTGTTTGTGCATCATATCCAGTATGTTGTGGCACAGGTACAAGCAGATGTAGTCAGTGTTCTAAAGGAGAAAATGGAGATTATTACCTTAGAGCTCTTCTCATGCTTACTACCTGTGCTTTTAAGCTTACTGGATAGCAAAATTGATAGGTAAGTCCAATGGCAAAATTTCGGCATAAAATGACTCTCTTGTTTCTGAGTCTGTTCTTACTCATTTATTCTCTTGTTCTTTAGAATTGCCTATCTAGTCAATATCCATTTACATCTGCTTCTCAACAATTAAAAACTGGATAGTCTCATTAAAGTAGAAAGTTCAACTTCTTGCTATGCTTCTATTTTCCTTTTCTCTTGTTCATTTTTCTCCTTTGTAGTACGCTCTTCTTGGTTGAGTTAGCCCCTTTACTATGTTTCTTAGAATGTCAAAACTTGGATGCCAATCTGTTTCCATTTAAGCTGGGTGAAGCCCTGTTTATATTTCTAAATTTTGGAGCTGGTCCACGATATAGCACTGCTTCTGCTGGCTAATGAGTGTCTTAGTACTCTTTGTTGACAATATTGCAGGTTGTTGGCAAAACAATGATCTGAGAATGGGATTCACTCAGATTTTCTTCTTTTAACTAGTTCCTAAGCTGTTAATATAAGAAATAAATTGCTTGCCCAAGAAAAAAGAAAGATTACATATAAGCGTTCTGGAAGGTGATAAATGAAAAGAAACTGATATTTCTACCGGAGAAAGTGATTGACACTAAAATATCTTGGAATAGTGAAGAGTGGTTTCCACAAATGGAATCTTTTATACATTAAGTACGACAAAATGTAGAGGGAAGGATGTCTTTATTGGAGAATAAACTGCTGTCATTACAATTGTCCCTATTTTAGAGAAAGCTTGAATTTTGCTTCTTTTTGTTTTTTTAGTTATTGCTCTTGGAATTGGTGCATTAGATAGATACTCTTACTAGTTAAAATCATCTCTAGACCCTTTGTTAGCTGGGTGAGTCATAGGTCCTTGTTACCTAATTTTGATATATTTTGCAGCTGAGAATTTGAATATTCTTATTCACATGTAATTTCTATTAGGCATGCTAGTGTTTCTCTGGAGATGCTCTTGAAACTCATTGCCGTCTTCGGACCTTTAGTTCATTCAACCGTTTCAGCACCTCGTGCTGTTGGGGTTGATCTTCATGCAGAAGAAAGGTATAATTCTCGACCCTATGCGTCAAATGGAGCTTCAGTTTGCTCTTGGCAAGTTTGCAAGAAAAAACTGAGCATGATTACATGCATCTAATTTATGAATTGTATGATAACAGACGTGAAAGCTGCAAACAGTGTTTTGTCCATCTTCAGAATGTTCAGAAAATTCTTCCGTCACTGATTCAGTAAGTTTTATGTCTTTTTCTTTGTGTCTTTGTTGGAGTTACACGTTGTAATTCTGCCCTGTTTTATTGTTGTAAAATCTGGCCAATGTTGCTTTAATGTTTGCCACATGACATTGTCAAGGATTGTGTCTCTCCTCCTTATCAAGTTTTAACTCTGTAAGGATTCCTTACATTAAATGTAGTTTATATTTCTCCTTTATCCTGTAGTGTCTCTGCTCTATCATCGCATATATTATTGGTCCTAGCCATTAGCTCCTCATCTGTGTTTTTATCTGGATCTTGGTTGTAGGAGGGGTGGTGTGGTGGCAAGATGTGCACATGAACTAAGCCTTGTTCTTCGAGAACCGTAATATACTCTTCTATGTGGTATTAACTTCAATGAAGAGGAAATGTACTGCTTTTTGCTTCCCCTTGGATAAAATTCTTTCAGACCGCCTCTTTTCACACGAGGGAAGCATCACAATTTTGTCATGCTGATGTCTGTCTCTGGCTACCTTTTTTGAGTCCTTTTGGTAGCTATGCATACAAGCTTGATGCTCCATGCGGTAAAGCTTGAGGAGGATTTTGTTCAGCTGCAGCCATTATCCCTGGTTCAAGGTGTTAGTCCTCAATATAAAGGTAGTAAATTTCTTTTAGTGATGCCTTGGAAGATGTTGCAGCTGTAGCATACATACATGTATACTTGTGGTCTTACTTAACCTGTAATTACAAGTCAATTTATGTAAATGCGCTTGTAATATTTAATGATATGTATACAGCCTCCATTTATCAATGAAATATATTTCCTATCTTGTAGTCTCACGTGGAAGTGTGATTCTGACCGTCCCTCCCCTCCACATTAAAAGAAAAGACCAAAACAAACAGCTACCTTACAAGTCCTGCTTGCTTTGACATTTTTCTTGTAGTATTAGGCTAATTTGGTACCACCCACGGACAATTAAACAAGCCAATGTAATGGGCTTCAACTTTCACCTCTAATACAGTATGAAAGTCTCCAAGATTCATACATAGTGGAACCTGCTCTTCAGAATTTTCCGTCAATCTCAGACCAGTAGTGCGGAAGACGTTGTACGGGATGGAGTTTCTTGTTTACTATTCATGGGAAGGAAAGCCCTTTCGTCCATATCATTTAACAAGAGTCAATGTACAATGCGTTTGCTTTAGGAAAAAAATACAAACAAGTATGTCATGCCTAGTTCAAACCAAAGCAGTAGGCATTGAAAGTCGCAGCTCTCTGACCCGAAATACTTGCATCAGGGATGAAAACTATGGTTTGAGGCTCAGGATGCGTTGCATGGAATACCAGGAAACTGAAGAATGTGTATCAGCTATTAAATGTTTTGTTCTGTCTCCATTGAACAGTAGGGATCTTAAAGCTGGAAATCTGATGCGTCTAAGTGAAAACCTCTGCTGCTCGACAGGCCCTGAAACCACAAACACAGCCCTAACTCAAGCTACCACATCCCCTTGTAACTGATTCACAACATGCCCAGAAATTAACCCAAATAACCAGGAATTAAAATGTGAAAGGACAGACTAGACAAGTTTAAGATTCAATCCAACTACCAGCCTTCTGTTTCCTAGCACGCTTAACTCTTATCATCTTCTTCATCTGAGCTACAGTATTCCATACTTCATTTTCACCGTGCATCTTGGATAGCATTGCATATACAGCAGGATGGTCTTGTTCCAATTTATAAATTCTGCTGGCAGCAGACTCGCCAATTTCCAAACAAGAATGTAGGCCACAGGCCCCAAGCAATGCCCCCCATACAACCACATCAGGCTCAAAAGGCATTCCCCTAACAAATTCCTCTGCTTTCTTGAGCTGCCCAGCTTTTCCATACAAATCCACTATGCAAGCAAAATGCTGAATCCCTGGTTTTACTCCGTATTTTGAATTCATGGAGTTAAATATCCGTTCACCCTCTTCAACCATTCCTCCATGCCCACAAGCCGAAAGGACATTAATAAACGTAATTTCATCAGGGTTGATTGATTCCTTCACCATTCTCTCGAATTCTTGCAATGCTCTTTTGGCAAGGCCGTGCCTTGCATATCCACCAATTATAGAATTCCAGGAGACCAGATTCTTTTCTGACATGGATTGAAATATATAATACGCTGCCTCAATATCCCCGCACTTTGCATACATGTCAAGAAGGGAAGTCGACAAGATGACATCAAGCACTGTACCAACCTTAAGTATACATGAGTGAACTTGATTGCCTATGAGGAGAGAAGAGCAGCCTGCACAGGCATCTAGCACGCATGAGAATGTGAAGTGATTAGGCCTAGGCCCCGAGTTTAGCATCAAGATAAACAATCCCAAAGCCTCCAAAAAATCCTCCCACTGTACATACCCTTTTATCATTGCAGTCCAACAAACAACATCATTTTCACTCATCGTATCCAAAACAGAGCGGGCTTCACTTAGCATCTTATTCTTGACATATCCATTAATGAGAGTACTCCACGAGAAAGCATTCTTCTCGGGCATCAGATAAAATGCCCTCTTAGCTTCACTGGTTAGCCCAAATTCCATAAAACCAAGAATCAACACGTTCCAAGGCGCCACGTCTTTCACCAAAATCTCATCAAACACTCGACACAACCCTTCTCGATCGCCCAAGTCTAGGTAACCTCTCATCAATGCTGACCCAAGAGAATCATTCAGATTCAATCCCGAAGAAAGCACTCGACAGTGAAGCTGAGGGGTCAAGAAACTGTAACCCGTGTTCAAGAATGCGCTAATCAAGACTGCAAAAGTAAGTTCATTGGGTTTCTCGCCGGCCCTGGTCATTTTCATGAAATACTGGTAAGATTTTTCTGGGTGGTTGGCCTGGCGGAAGCCAGAAAGCATGGTGTTCCATGAAACAACGTCCTTCTGGGGCATTTGGTCGAACAACTCTTCGGCACGTCGCCAACGGTTGTGCCTCATGTATCCAGTAATTATTGAATTCCAGGAGACAATGTTTCTGGACTCAGGATTTTCATCGAAAACTTGGCGGGCAGCGTTTAAATTTCCGTTACGGAGGCAGCCGTTGATTGTATTATTCAAATTCAGTGTGGCACGAGTGGAGAAATGGTAGCGGGAAAGGGTACGAGCGAACATGGCATCCACAAAATCAGCTTAGGGTCCATAGAACTTTACAGAAAAGGTGAAATCGAAATCGTCCTTCTTTTTTCAACAAACGTCCTTCTTCTTTTTTTTTCTCGAAATCGTCCTTCTGCTCACCCGGATTTTGAACTTGCCTCGTTTCTGCAACTTAAAATATACCAGCAATTTGAATTTTTTTTTTTTTTTTACTGTTCTAGAATGAGCTCTTTTCAATTGGTAACATATGTTTGAAATCGTATAAAATACAACCTAGTAAGAGATGAAAATAATCTATGAAACAAATACATATAGCTAATATATTTGGATGTCACTTTATATTGTCTTTTTTTCTGCTTGTTTTGGAAGCTGGAAGATACCTAAAAAAGGAACGGAATAAAGAAGCCAAAGGAAAAATGCATTTTCTTTAAGATATGACCGCATAAAGGCCTCAAGAATACAGGCACGAGTATTATCCACCTTATTAAGTCGTCGTTAAAAATTTACAACTAGACGTGCATTTTAAGACCGTTTAGTATAGATTTTAATTATAAATTGAGATGAAATCTCTCAACCATTGGTGTAATTCATGTGAAAATCTTGACCAAACCATACGATGTATTTGTTTGAAAGGTCTCGAATCATGCCCCCTTTTCTTGAATTGGAATGAAAATTATATGGCTTTAAATTGGTTATTCGATTATCTATGCAGAGGTTTCCAAATAGTACATAGAGTTGATGGTTATTGTGAACATTTATACCATGCATGTTAGTTGATGCTTAAAAAGGTAGTAGTTTTTTTAACTTACTAACACAATACATACCCTGATAATATTGCGGGCTTAATCCCCTGCTAGGCAAATGTATGTCAAATGAATTGTTAATAAGCATAAAGGAGAAAAAGTAGACGAAGAAAAAGAGAAAATAGAAGTAAAACATGTATGCTAAATTTTTAGTAACAATTAATGCAAAGCCAGAATTTGTTAATAAAATAGGAGTTACTTAGAATAAATATATTCTTTTAAATTTCTTATGATAATTTCTTTAATTCTTTTATTATGAAAATTTGTATTTCGTAGTAAGAAAGAAATTTAAACAATAATAAGAATAATAGCAAGAGGCAAGAGAAAAGGACAAACGATCATTGAACAATATTTTAACAATGAGGACATAATCATATATTTTTGCTATCCAACAAATACATTAGACTACTACCATACCATCGGGGGTTAATTTATAGATTTCACAGACACGGGAGCGATTTGCTACTGCCACTTAATTACAAAGGGTCAAAATTTATTTAAGCCTAAAATTGCAAGCACGCAGCAATGACATGGCTTTATATTTTTCGGATTTGGAGCAGCGAACGTCGAAGGCTTGATCCCGTGTGCGCCGTACCAAATAGTAATTGACATCCAAAAGCACGTGCTAATGTCGTTTAGGCTCGAGTTCCACGCAGGAGTTTGCTCCTAATCTTTCATCGGACATGGAAACAGTTAATATGCGAAATTATTATACTATGAGAATTGAGAGTTGATTATACTATGACATATCAAGTCAATGACATAATAGTTGTATTAGGTCAAGGCTCGAAGATTCTATTCTACTATTAGTGTTCAAATCCTTAAAAATGGTGGTTTAGAGCGGTAAACAGAGTATTTCGTACTATTTAGGCGTAAGTCAAAGAATTTTGTATTCTAATATTCAGACTTTTCTGAAAATATTTTTAGTTGCAACTATCGAGGATGTAAGTATTTGTAATTTGAACTAACTATCGAAGGTATTGGCTTATGGGTGTTTTAACAAAATAAAAATAAATTTAGAAAAAATGTTCCACAGAGACTTTCGAGGAATATTAGCCAAATTAATAAAATCTTGGGTCAATTCATTCATTGCAAATAAAATTTGAGATGCAAGTTCGTTTTTTTTTTTTTTTGTACGTCCTTCAAGAGTTTTTTTTAAAAAAGTTTTAGACTATGAGAATTGTAGGGCAGAAATTCCAACCGTCTTAATTAAAAATTGGGTTACTTGATTTTGAGATGTTACTTTAGGTCCGTGATAGTTTTAAAATTTTATCACTTAATTATAGTTCACGAGTTTAAGTAACGAAGTTTAGAGCTTTACTATCTCTTTTGTGACAATTAAGAAGGTATGTTTACTCGATTCTTAGTTATTTATTTGCTTTGGATGCTCCATCGCTTATGACACATAAGTCCACGAGTTCAAGCAACGAAGTTTAGCGCTTTACTACTCATCTTTTGTGACAATTAAGTTTCTTTTTATCTTAGAAGATATTATTTCTTAGCAGAGAAGTAATTGATTGATAATTAGAAATATTTTTGGAGATGAATTACAATTTCAATATACTACACTTTCTATATGTATGTAGCTCCTGTACTTTTTTATTTCAGATCTTACATAATTATACCTTAAATTTGAAAGCTGAAAACCCATTAATGATTGCTGCTTCTCACCGTTTTTTTTTTTTTTTTTTTAAATTTTCTTGTGTTTTCATTGGATTTTTATTACTACAATTACAACTTTTACGTCTTAACGTCCCCTGGCTGCAAGAAAAGAGAGTTAACTATAAAGTCACCCCCCAAAAAAAAAAAAAAGACAGAAAAAATGGTAATTAATTTGCGTCCCTCCTTTTATCTTGAATGGCCAAATAGTATGTGCCACCCTCCTAGTCGGCAATCTTCTTCATTTGAACTGGGGATATGCATGTCATTAAAGATTATGAGGGGGGACAAATATGGTAAGAGAATCTACATGTAAAAGGCACCATTATTGATTGATTATGCCTCCCTTCCCTCGTACTAGTACTAGAAAAAGACAGAGAGAAAAAAGAGGGGGAAACGAAGAGAATTTCCAGGCTAACCCCAACTCAAAAAAATCACACACCACCACCCTCTTTTCGCACACACACACCCACACCCATCCAACATTTCTTTCATCCATTTCTTGCTTCTCTCGATGCCCATCTCCGCCGATCATTCATTTCGCTACAATAAGTACATCCTTTTCTCCTTCTAGAATTCGTCGTCTCCTTTTCTCCCCATCATTTAAAAGTTTTAATTATTATTACTATATGCTATCTTCTCTTTTCTTTTCTTTTTTTGGAAATTGAGGAAAAAAAAATTCTGGCCGGAAAACCACCTTCCATGACCAAAACAACCATTTCTCTTCTAAACCACCTCCACAAAACCACCCTTAGCACGCTTCACGGTCCTTTTTATGTCCTCAAGTTTGTCGAGAACCAAACGCGCCCTTATCTATCTCCCTGGCTTTTGCCCTTTTAGCCTTTGTAGAATCCTGGAAATTTCGAGGTTGTTTTGTCTCCAGTCTCTGTCTTTTGGCTTTTTTCTTTTTCTTTTTTTTTTAACACCGGAGAGAGAAGGGTGATTACTAACGTGCGCCGGTGGTGCGCATGTTAAGATGTTGAAATTCGAAAGCTTTTAAGATTTGAGAGTGTGTGTGTGAGAGAGAGAGGTGGGTGTGTGTTTTGTTTTGCTTGGGCGGCTAACTTTTGATCGTGGTCGTACACGTGGAAGGCGGGAGATGGGAGCGGAGGCGATGGTGGTGGGCCCCGATAAGAGGTGGGGCACATGGGAGGAGCTTATCCTAGGAGGCGCTGTGTTGAGGCACGGTACCCAAGACTGGAACGTCGTCGCTTCCGAGCTTCGTGCCCGCACCCTCTACCCCTATTGCTTTACCCCTCAGGTCCTTTCATTTTCCCCCACACGTTATTCCTTTTTTTAATTTTTTGGCTTCATTTTGATTTTAAGTTATTGAAATGTTAATGATGTTTTTTCTTGTAATCTAGTACAGTAAGTGCGTGTTGAGGAATTAATTATGATATTTACATTTAGTTAAGAAGTTAGTTGCTCGATAGATTTTGTAGGGCCATGTCTTAGCATTTGATAATATGAAATTATTCACTTGGCTATAAAATTATTAGGTAGAGGATAAACATAAGTCGTGATATGCCTTGGGGCTTAAGAAAAGGGGACAGAGATTAATATTAGCAGAGTATTTATTTATGCTTGCTTGTACCACGTGGACTGAGTCATTTATTGCATATTTCCTTTATAGCCCTCCTGATTTCTTCTTCTTTCTTTTTTCTGCCCTTTATGGAGTTTCAAATTTACTCTTTATTTTGGTGGTGGTTATGTGAGAAATGGGGAGGCAACCCGTAGCTTCCCAAGTCACAAGTCATGAATGATTGGTCAATTTGGAGTCTTAGTTTTATGGAAAGGTCCAATTTGACTCTTGGGTGGTTAGGGAATGAGGATTAAGGAATACCTTATTGCGATTTAGAGTAATCATTAGCTACACATGGTCCAAAGTCTTCTTGGACCACACATAATTAAAGGTAAATGCAATTTGGTCATATTATATTATGTTGGGGATGGTATCAAATGTGAACCTTGTTTTGTGGCAAGGAATAATTAGTAGTTCAAGAATTTGTTGAATAACTAAAATATTCCCCATTAACGTCACCGTTGGCTGTGGTTATGGCCCACCTTTGTAAACAGTGATAATCATATAAATTGTTGTAAATTTTGTGATGAGACTTTTGTTTCGTTTTTTTTCCTTTGTAATTGTTGACGTGGAATTTGTTTTCAAATTTGGATGTGATGTAGTAATCCATTTTGTTGGTGGATGATGTTATTTGAAGAAATTATGGGCCTGATCTTCATCTCGAGCTTGATGATCGATGTGGTTCCACAGAAAATTAATATGTATGTTGACAAATTTTCTGAGACAACATTCTTTTTTTGGGGGTGGGTGGGGGAGGAAAAGAAAAGAAAACCCGTTAATGAAGCCATTTATAGCAGAATTGTAGGAAGAAGTGATTGGATAGACTTAGGCTGGTAGACCAATGTCGTGAATGCTTGTACCCTTCTCAAGAGTATCATCAATCGTGCACATGGTAGTATATCCACTTGTAGCTATTGGTTTCTCCAAACAAAGAATTTTTACTTTGAAGAAACTCACAATAGCCAGGAAAAGTTTAAAGAGTTTTTGGCTTTTGCGCCATAACCCCTCCTAGAATTAATTATCTCTTAATAATAATTAAACAAAGAATTTTATATGCTCTGATACCAAACACGCATTTATCACAGTTAGTTGCATTTATCATCCCCAATAGATATCAGTTTGATAACTAAAATAATTGTGTATTAGTGGAAGGTTGTTGGCTAAAACTCATTAAATTTGTTGTTCTCATGGGTGTTACTTAGATGCAATGCATTATTTCTTTCAACCTCGTGTACATGTGTACAGTTTAGTATGATCAAGCTTATGGTCGATCTGACAAAAACTTCAATTTGAAATACAGGCCTGCAAGGCCAAGTATGAGGACCTAAGAAGGCGTTATTCTGGTTCCAAGTAAGTGGGACTCAGCTCTTTTGATTTATTGAATAATGGTGATTCAATTTATTGAATAATGGTAATTCAGTTGTCACACACAGATTTATAACTCTGGAGATTGCTACTAAAGTTTGATTTATTAGAAGTAACTTTTTGGTGTGTGTCCTTGTTTTCCTAAGTAAATAGAGGTTTGTTTTTCTGTAAAAACAGGCTCTATTATTCTTGCAACACGTTTAAGCTTCTGGGTGTACGGCATTGAGACTGTTATCTCCCTCCTTTCTTGCTTCCAATCTGTCTCTTACATTTTCACTTTTTTTTTTTTTTGGAAAAATAAGAGCAGCTAGGAATATAATGAGATTCATATTCGGGTTTTGATTTATTTCTATTACTTGTTGGGTGTCCTGTATCAGTGCTTGGTTTGATGAGCTACGAAAGAGACGAGTTGCAGAACTGAAGAGAGAATTGGAGAAATCTGAGGACTCAATTGGGTTAGTGAACTTTTTTCTTTCGATTCATGTTGGTGCTGATGAAATTGAAGTCTAGTAACCAAACTACTTTCTAGTCAAGTTTTCGTCAAACAAAATGGGTTACCTATATCCTCTGCTGCACGGCAAGCAACCAACCCCCCCCCCCCTTCTTTTTTTCTCCTGGTGAAAAGATAAAAGAATTGGAAAAGGAAAATTTGGTCAAGTTCATAGACTTCTTGTACTTTTTTATGGTGGCACTTCAATTACATAATAAATATGAACTATTAAGAACTTTTCGGACCAAATTGTGTTTCGTTACTTTCGTACTTTGGTTTGGTATTGGTATTATGAATAGTTAAACACATAGGGCAGGTCATCGAGAAAGAGTGAATACGTGACTCCAACACATAAGTTAAATTTAACTGAAATTAACATGTGGTTCCACTTATTTTGGTATATAATATGAAAAAAGAAGCAACCTTTACTAATAAAGTTCGTGCGAGGAAAATGAAAGTTATTTTGAGAGGAGTTTTAAGACATTTAATTAGAGTTGGAGGCAGTACATCTTGGCAGTCAATGGCGGAGCCAGGATCCTATGGTGAGGAGATGCAATGGTTAACTTTAGCATAAATCATGCTTTGAAATTTATATAAAAGATGTACTTTGTACTTCGATTTGAAAGGCCAAATACTTCTTCCTCATTAAAGCGGTGTCAATGTTTAGTATGGAATAGGTCCAAAATTCATTTTAGAGGTAATAAGTAAAAATCTTATTTTTTAGGGGGTCAATATAGAATAAGGGAGGGAATGTATAGAACTCAAAAGGATATATCCATGTATAGAAAGGAATTTTCTTAAATCTAAAGAAGGCAATGCAACTAAAGGTAATAATTTTATAAATTTCAGGGGGTGCAAACTTGAAAATTTTAGAGAGTTTCGAGGCCATTATATAATTTTATCAAATTTGAGGGGGGACAATTGCCCTCCCTCAGTTCCATGTGGCTCTGCCACAGCTGGCAGTCCAAGTTGTCATCTTACCTGAATGTTTCGTGTTGATTGGGTGCTTCAAGTTACAAGTAGATTGCTTTACAGAACAGGTGGTGTAAGCAGAGAAACTGCACATCTGTATATGATGTTTGATGTATTTTTACATTTTCAGAAAGCATGTGATGTTCAGGTTTAGTTAGTGTCTAACTGAAATTGTTCTCTCTCTCTCTCTCTCTCTCTCACACACACACACACGCACACTTACACTCGTTATCATCATGTTCATCATTATCATAGTATTAAATTGGCTTTTGTTCTTAACTGCAGATCGCTTGAGACGAAGATTGAAATTCTCAAGGCTGAGAAAAGACACTCCAGCAAAGCTGATTGTGGCTCTAATGGGACTGAATCACCTGCTCCTCTTTTAAGATCAGATGGAAACGAATCTTTTGGCAAGGAGACATCCAAGGATGGACTCTCTGCCAGTAGCTTCACCCAAGATACAAGCATTAGCTGGTCATTGTATCGACAGATTCCAGTCTTAGTATCATGTGCAGGGACAGATATTAAGCAAGAAGTTTCAGTATCTTTGGAGGAACAGAAGGATTTACACACAAAAAAGCTGGTAGAGACTGGCAATAGAGAGGGAGGGACTCCGAGGAAAAGAAGAGGTATGAGGAAGAGGAAAGACTGTAACATAGAAGCCAAAGAAGGAAGCATTGGTGAGAGTGACAACCATGGGTCAACTAATGTAGTATCTAGTTCTCGCTGTAAGGAAACTTCTACAAGTGATTGTGATCAGACTATTAGGCTTCCCGGTAGAGATGGCAACACCAAAGGTGCATGCCAGATGAGAAGTGATTGTTTGATCGGCATTTTCAATTCTATTGCGGAGTACAAGGTAGCTTTTGTCTTTAGACATCGGCTTGATAGTCAGGTAATTGCTTTAGTAAATACTCAAACTTTGTTGGTTATGTCCCAAACCCTATTGCGCAAATCTTCTGTAATTTTTCAAATGAATTTGTATCTGTGACCCACAACAGAAGAGAGCAAGATACAAGAAAATCATCAGGCAACATATGGATTTTGACATGATAAGATCTAGATTGGTCAGCTGTTCCATCCACTCAGCAAGAGAGCTCTTTCGAGACTTGCTTTTGCTTGCAAATAATGCCCTGGTGTTTTACTCAAAAAGGACACGGGAGTATAAATCGGCAGTGGCGCTGAGAGATATTGTACTGAAAGCATATCGACAGCACTTCAAGGGTTCTTATAACAAAGCTACTTCTGCATCCCTTCCAATGCGATCATTGTATAATCCTCCTGTGAAGCCACGGAGTGCCCGTCGTCGCCCAAGTCAACCCAAACAATCAGCTAAGCTGGACAAAGCTGAGAAATTTGTTGTTAACGCTCCCAAGGTACATCCTAAACCAGGTGATCCTGATGCTAATGTTCCGCTTCAGTCGTTATTGACGGCAAAGAAAGGTGTAAAACGCCCTCTGAAGGTAAAAACTGCATCAGCTAAACCACAATCCAAGACTCCACTGCCGAAGGACAAGAAAGCTGCTCGACAACGGTGAATATGTTTTAGTATTTTTGTAACATCTTCCCGGTTTTTTGCATTAACTTCTTGCTGTACAGATGCTCTTCTTTTTGCAAATGAGGCTAGGTATGTCAACTAGGTTAACTAGGTTGTATCTGCTGGCCATTCAAGTGAAGAAACACAGTAGATGTGAATGAACTGTTCATAAATAGTTTCAGAGACTCTTCATCATGCGAAGCTCTTGGCAAAATGGTGCTTTAAAACTGGCCTTTGTGAACTGCGCTTTAATGGTTGTCTTGCCTTTTTTTGAGCGATTTGTTCCATAACCACAGAGTCCTAGCAACCAGGTGTGCTTCTCTTCCCCCTTTCTTGGCGCTTTCCTTTTGACATCTACATCCCTCGAGAGAGGGCTGAGAAGCTATATGTATATACGGACCTGAGTGGCTGAATACTGTATATCAAATATCCATGCAAGTTAGTCCATACTTTAAACAAATGTATTTGAGTCTTTATTTATAACAAAAGAAACAACGGATTGTGGAGAATATTTCTGAGTTACAGCAAAATGAAATTCATATTAGAAACATAATTTAGTATAAAACTATTGAACTTGAGGAAACTCTGCGATCTGATTGGAGAACCAATCTCTCAATGTATATGCATCGATAAAGATAGTGATTTTATATTTTAAATATTTCATATTTTTATAATCTAAAAGTTGAGGTCTTGTTTGCATTGTAATTTTTCTTCAAAAAATTTCTATAATTTTGACAAACATATTTTTTAATCATTTTTTTATTTACTTCATATGCAAAACATTTTTATAGTTTTTTTTTTTTACAAAAATTTTAAAAAATAGCAATTCAAATGGACTCTAAAATATTTATTTCACTATTTAACGGTGAATTTAATCTAAGAGTGCGATACCAAAAGGGATTGTAGAATCTCATGAACTTGATTGTGAAAATAATTTTGCAATTTCATTGAATATCTACCATTTGGTTCAAAAAGTTGGGAGTAATTAAAAAAAAGAAAAAAGAAAAAAAGAACGTCTTGCTCGGTTCAGCTATGGTATAAAAAATCGCCACTGCTTTGGTCTCTCAGTTGGGCTACAGTATAATTGGTGTTGGATAAACTGACAAGCGTGCTGGCCTGTAAATGGTAAGAATCATCAAACCCAGACCGACCGTCCGGCTTAACATTGAAGCCTGGGTCCAGCAGTTTGCGTGTGGACATGTAGGCCTGGGTAGAATTCCCTTGGGCTACTAAGGAACTTTTAGCTCTTGCATCGTTCGGGGCTGATCTGCACTGTGTGGGCAAGTTAAGTGCTGTTGTCGGCCAGTTTCCCTTGAGGTTTCTTCTAATCACACTTAGCACCCCTCATGTTTTCAAAATCACACTTAGCAATGACAACTTTGGTATCATTGTCAACCCCTCATTATTTTTGTTCCACTTTTACCCTCCTTGTGAACTCTATTTATGTAGAGTTAATTTCGGAAACCTCCCTTGAGGTTTTCCCTAAATTATGTAAAACTATTCTGTAATTATGTAATATTTTTTGTACAAAGTGTAACTCTAATTGAACTATTTGTAAAACTTACCAACACAGATATGATTATTACATATTGGACCCATATGTACACTAACAACTTGTCACATTTCTATTGTAACGATGTACAAGAAGTTTACATAAAATTACAAAATATTCAAAAAATGTTACACTATTTAAGGATGGTTGATCTAACAACTGTTCCTATCCCACCCCCTAATATTAAATAGTCACGGAGTTTCCAGTGATGTTAACTTTTGGCAATGGACATAGTGTCATTGCCAAAATTGCAATTCTTAAGTGAATAATAACACAATCTAAAAGTAATTCAAAGATGATGGGAATTCATGAGTATATAGCATTAGTAAGCCATTTCTACTTGACAATAGGGTATTGCAATATTAATAACTTACAAACTCCATTCAACTAGGATGCACAAAAAGCTATTTATACTACCTCATTTTCACAAAAATGGAAGAGCAAGTTTATTTACAACTACAACCACATATTGAAACTATTGTTGCCAGTATGAGAATTCATATTCACATTTTTTTTTATCTCCGTTCAGATCAATGTAATATTTTTTAAACAATGTGTAACTCTATGTGAATTATTTGTAAAACTTAATAACAGAAACACAATCTATTATAAAGATGTACAAGAAGCTTACATAAAATTACAAAATATTCAAAACATGTTACACTGTTCAGGCACGATTTTGTAGTGTTACCAAAGTTGGTGGGATGTGAGTTACATAAATAGAGTTCACAAGGAGCGTAAAAGTGGAACAAATATAATGAGGGGTTGACAATGATACCAAAGTTGTCATTCCAAGGGTGCTAAGTGTGATTTCGAAAACATGAGGGGTGCTAGGTGTGATTAGAAGAAACCTCAAGGGAGGTTTCTGATATTAACCCAAGTTTTATTGCTTTCCAACCTTATTAGCTTCGATTCATCATCTAATTAATTGTCTAACAACGCTATAGTAATAGCAGAATCAATAACTACTCTGTGTGGGGGGACATTTAGTTTAAATCTTTAAGTTATTGAATGAGGTAATTGTCGAATAGTCTGATCCTACATATGAAGCAAATGTGGGCATCTCATTTTAACAGATGGAACATACTCCTGTGTTGTAAAACTATCTACTCAACCCTTACAGAAAATGGAAAGAATAGTAGTGTTCTTACTTGGTACTTGCATCGTATCATTTTCGGTTATGTTAGTTCTATTCTATCATCTGATAGATCCTATTTTACTCTGCAGGGAAAACACTTAAAAAGATTCTATCAACCCTAACCACTCATAAAATACACCATCATCTTTAGAAAAACACTCGATTTCATGATGCCACGGTTTTTAATGCAAATTTCATTCAGCGTTGAGGCGTAAGAATTTAATTTCATGCTTCACTAAACCGATGCCGATGCTACCGCATAATTCAATGCATGAACTATGCTATTATTTTTTTGAGGTGGAGGCCGTTAGGAGCAGGAGGGAGGGTTGAGTTGAGTGGTAAGATGAAAGGAATTATGAGTAGAGGGTTGAATATTTGAAACCTCTCATCTATAAGAAAAAGGAGAGAAAGATGGGAGGACTGAACTTTTAATCTTTCTACAGTAACCAGTAGAGAGCATGTATTCTAATGAATATACATTGTCTAGTTTAACTATGATTTGTTAGCAGGGGTCTTTGCTACGTCTCTCTAACATCTAGAATCATAAAAGTGATGGTAAAAATGTATTTGGTTGAAATTGAATGAACAAAAAATTAGTTACGAGACATAACTTTTTTGATTGTTACTAATGTTTTGTGTTTCATATTACCGACTTCTGTCCCATATAGAATGTCATATTTGGCAAAAATGTGTATTTTATAGTAGTATGTGTCCTGAGTCATACCATTCCAAAAACACACATAGAACACCTCAAAAAACTTGAGAACATCCCGAGAAAAGTTTCGAAAACTTAAGAACACCTAAAAAATCTGGCATCAAGAAAAGTTTCTTGAAATACATTTACAGTAAAATTGTTAAAAGAGCACAGATCCTTGTCATCTACTTTTATCGTGTCAGTGCGTGCATTATTACGTAGGAATTACAGAAACTGCAAATTCCAGAATTTAAGTGACTTCTCTTGGAGTTGCCGCAACCGAAAGCATGAGCCAAGCGGGTTCAATCAGGATCGAGACCTCAACAATGACCCGTAACAGTGCAAATACTACCAAGGGAGGTTTCTAATAGTTACATTCACCTTTTTTTTAAGTTTCGAAAATAATAATACGGACCTCTTTTGAACTTAAAAGCTAATGTAAATACTAATATAAAAACTCTAGATACTGACCAAATAACACGTAAAAAAATATAATAAAATTTTCCACTCATTAAAATTTATGTATAGGATTTTGTTATGTTGTATTTATTATTTCAATATCCATATATTTATTGTGTTAGTATTTGCGCGTAAAGGCAGAATAATTGCTACTGCTACCCTTTCCAGATACAAGCCACGTGCCCCAACAAGACACCGGTCTATCGGGTACAACAGCCTGTTGGTAGTTTCAAGCACTAAATATATACTCCACTTACTATGTACCGTTTCCCAAGGCCGTAACTGCAGCAAATTTGGCTCTTATTCCGACATTTTTTTTTTTTTTTTTTTTAACAGGGCCTTGGAACTCCTCCCCCACCTCCACCAGCGATCTCGTACGAAATACATAAACTAGTCGAGAAGATAATGGAAGAAGAAACGAATAAAGTATAATCGTGAGTGGGATCCAAATGTCACTCAATCGTTTTCGTGGGACAAAGAAATTGCACCAGTTGTGTATACGTTATATCCAATGGATTGGCATTAAGAACTTCATTTCCAGTTAGTGGTATGAGCACCACTAGGATTAGCAATTTAAACCACATATGTATTAATCAAGCCAAGCCAACCACTTCTTTCAAAGCACATTACTTCTGGGGCATTATTGATGGACCACAAAAGTTAACCTTGTGTGGGCAGGCATGATGAGCCAGAAGCAGTAGTGATTAGTTCAACTAAGCACATACTTGGTTGCCCTACTTTGGGACGATTGATGGCATGAGACGTAACTCTGACCAGTATTGCAACGCTTCCGATACTTGGCGTATTCATATTTTCATAATGGAGTGATCAGTAGTGGTGCTGGTGGCCGCCATAGGATAATTCAAGAATTTAGTGGTCAATACTCAATGCCAATTAGCGGTGCTAATACATTTGGTATGCCTTCTTGTCAAGGTGGCTGACCTAATACATGGACTGGTTTTGGATTCCAACAACTACTGTGATGAGTTAAGAATGACTCATTGAAACTCACCATTATGCTTCAAAAACTTGGTAGGCAAACAAGGCCTTAATCCCTTATGGATGGACAGCAAAATATATATATATATATATATATATATATATATATATAATGAGTTTATTTGAAAAAAAAAATGGAAAAATTTTCTCATGACATGTCCCTCTAATGGATACCAGCGGTTGTCGTCGAGTAACAAAGAGTTTGACAGCGTTTAATCAAGATAAATATTATATTCAAATCTTGTAGATAGAGAAAATAAGGTTGGGAGAGTCACCCCAAAAAGGATCCAACAGTACTTTGATTCCAAAATTAGTCGAAATCCAATGCAAGGCCATCCGACGCTAAAGGGTTTACATCCCAAAAAAAAAAAAAACCCCTTCGTGTAGAATTTATACATGTAACGTATATATACGGTCAGCCGAAAACCCCTTCGTGTAGAATTTGCCTAGCAAAAGAAATGCTTAGGTTGGCCTCTTCCCTTGTGCCAACTGGGGATTTTTGTCGGAGTCCATTTGGTCTTTGCCAATTGCTGCAATGTGATCTAAGCGGCCGCATGCAAACAAGCAGCTAAAAAGTATGCCCAAAAGTCACAAGGTTTAACAAGATCACGATCGTAG